AGGAGGTCTTTGAGGAATGGAGGAATCTATAGACGACTGATGAGGATCCGTGGGGTGATGGGGGCATCTGTGGGGTGGAAGAATGACTAGGGGTCTGTAGGGGTGCTGATGTGCTAGCTTGTAAGGTGAGGGGGCTTTGTGGTGTGAGAGATGGAGGGTCTGTGAAATGAGTGGGAGTCACCTGTGGGGTTAGTAATGGGGTGTCAGTGGGGTGAGAGATAAGAGCTCCGTGGAGTCAGTGATGAGTGAGTCAGTACAGTGAGTGAAGTGATTAGGGGCCAATAAGCTGAATGATCCAGGGGTGGAGTCTGTTGGATGAGTAATGTGGCTCTGTGAGGTGAATGACGTGAATATGCAGGGTTCACGATGGGGCCTGTAGGGTGAGTGATGGAGGATCTTTAGGGTTTGTGATGGGAAGTCTATAGGGTGGGTGTTGGTGGGGTCCATGTGGCAGCAATGCAGGGGGATCTGTGGGCTGAGTAATCAGGGCATGTGATGAGGGTCTGTGGGGTGAGTGATGGAAGATCTGTGTTGGGGAGTGAGTGGAGTGAGCACAGAGCGATGTTACTGACTGAATTGTATCTCCCCGAAATTCATGCTGAAGCCCTAACCCCTAATACTTCAGAATGTGACTGTATTTGAAAATAGGGCCTTTCAAGAGGTGATTAAATTAAAATGAGGTTGGTGAGCGCGGGTCCCAATCCAATCTGGCTGGTGTCCCTATAAGAAGAGATTAGGGCACCGACATGCACAGGCAGAGGGAAGACTGTGAGGACACGGCGAGAAGGTGACCATCTACAAGCCAAGGAGAGAGGCCTCAGGGGACACTAAACTGGTTGACACCTTGAACTTGGATTTTCCGCCTCTAGAACTGTGAGGACATAAATTTCTGTTGTTTAAGCCACCAGGTCTATGGCATTTTGTTACAGCAGTCTTAGAAAACTGACACAGATTTTGGTCCTGGGAAGTGGAGTGCTGCCATAACAAATACCTAAACATGTGGAAGTAGCTTTGGAACTGGGTAATGGGTAGAGGCTGAAAGAGTTTTGAGGTACATGTTAGAAAAAGCCTATGTTGCTGCTATGGTCTTAATATTTGTGTCCCTCCCACCTCCAATTCCTATGTTGAAACCTAATTCCCAGTGTAATGATATTAGGAGGTGGGGCCTTTTGGAGGTAATTAGGCCATTCCCTTATAAGGGATGAAGGGACCAGAGTTCTACCCTCCCACCATGTGAGGGTATAGAGGGAAGGAGCCATCTATGAGGAGGCAGCCCCTCACTCGACACTGAATTTGCCAACACCTTGATTTTGGACTTCCCAGACCTCAGAACTGTGAGAAATAAATATCAGTTGCCCATAAGCTACCCAGTTTATGGTATTTTGTCAGAGCAGTCCAAACAACTAAGACAATTATCTTGAAGGCTACTGGTAGAAATACGGATGTTGAAGGTGCTTCTGGTGAGGCCTCAGAAGGAAATGAGGAATATGTTATTGGAAAATGGAGGGAAGGCAAAGAACTTGGTTAATTGTGTTCTAGTGTTTTGTGGAAGGTAGAACCTGTGGGAGGCGAACTTGGGAGATTTAGCTAAGGAGATTTCTAAGCAACGTATTATGCGGCCTTTTTCTCTTTGCTGCTTCTAGTGGAATGCAAGAGGAGAAAGAGAAATTGAAAAAGAAATTGTCAGGCAGAAGGGAACTCGAATGTGAAGATAAAAAAATTCTCAGCCTATCCAATACCGCAAAAGCTGAGAATGTGTTCTGGTGAGAAGACAAAGGGTGTGGCTAAACAATCATGCCACAAAGAGATCATGGGTGTGACTCACTGACCTAATCAGCCATCATGGCAGAAGCCAGGAATAGAGATGGGTAATACCAGCAGGAACACGGCCAGCTGGGACTAAAGAGGACAGAGATGGGACAAAATGAAAGAAGACTGTAGGACTTCTGGGATTCAACAGGACACGACAACAGAGCTTTCTGGCTGTGAACATGCATTATACTTCAAGAAAAAGGGAGAATGATCCCAAAGGTGGAGCTGTCTCCTCCTCAGTTCCAGAGGGCAGAGAGGCCTCCTCTGTTTCAGTGGGCCAGGCTGCCACCCAGGGCTCAGGGAGAGACACCACCTCTCCAGTGAACCAGGAAAGTGGGGCCCCCAATCTGGTGGGCCCAGAGGACAGAACATAGAGCCAAACCGGATTATTCTCAAGCCTTAAAAATCTAATAGAATTTGCCCTATTTGGTTTCAAACTTATTTGGAACCTGCGATCCCTGTTTTTTCTCCTGTGACAGGGTCTCGCTCTATCGCCCAGGCTGGGGTGCACTGGTGAGATCAGGGTTCACTGCAGCCTCTACCTCCTGGGCTTAATCTATCCTCCCGCCTCAGCCTCCCAAGGAGCTGGGACTATAGGAGTGTACCACCATACCTGGCTAATTTTTTAGTTTTTTGTAGAGACGGGGTTTCACCATGCAGCCCAGGGTGGTCTCAAATACCTGGGCTCAAGTGACCCTCCCATCTCAGCCTCCCAAAATGCTGGGATTACATGCGTGAGTCACCATGCCTGGCCTTGATCCCTTTCTTCTTTCTGATTTCTCCTTTTTGGAATGGAAATATCTATCTAGCTTATGCTTATCCTACCACTGAATTTTGGAAGCAGATAATTTATCTGGTTTCATGGGTTCACAGCTACAGAATTTTTGCATCAGGATGAATCATAACTCCAGTCTCATTTACACTTGATTTGGATGATATTTAGGTAAGACTTGGGACTTAAAGTTAATGCTAGACTCAGTTAAGTTTTCAGAGTGGCTTATGGCACAGTGACTTATGCCTATAATCCCAACACTTTGGGAGGCCGAGGTGGGCGGATCATCTGAGGCCAGGAGTTCAAGACCAGCCAGGTCAACATAGTGAAACTCTGTCTCTACTAAAAATACATAAATTAGCCAGGGGTGGTGGTGCATGCCTGTAATCCCAGCTACTTGGGAGGCTGAGGCAGGAGAATCAGTTGAACACAGGAGGCAGTGGTTGCAGTGACCTGAGATCTTGCCTTTGCACTCCAGCCTGGGCCACAGAGCAAGACTCTGTCTCCAAAAAAACAGAAGAGAGTTTTGGGCTGCTGGGATGGGGATGAATGTATTTTGCATGCAAGGACATGAATTCTGGGAGGCCAGAGAGAACGGAATGTTATAGACTGAACTGTGTCTTCCCCAAATTCGTATGTTAAAGCCCTAACCCCCAATACCACAGAATGTGACTATATTTGGAGATAGGGACTTTAAAGGGGTGGTTAAGTTAAAACGGGGCTCATAGAGTGGGCCTAATCCAATACAAATGGTGCCCCCTGCCTTTTTTGAGACAGAGTCTCACTCTGTTGCCCAGACTGGAGTGCAGTAGTGCCATGATGTTGGCTCACTGCAACCTCCACTTCCCGGGTTCAAGTGATTCTCCTGCCTCAGCCTCCCAAGTAGCTGGGATTACAGGCATGTGCCACCATGCCAGGCTAATTTTTGTATTTTTAGTAGAGACGGGGTTTCACCATGTTGGCCAGGTTGGTCTCAAACTCCTGGCCTCAGGTGATCCACTTGTGTCGGCCTCCCAAAGTGCTGGGATTATAGGCATGAGCCACTGCCTGACTGGTGCCCACCCCCTCCCGTCCCCCCCCTTTTTTTTTAAGACAGGGTCTCACCATGATCATGGCTCATTGCAGCCTACACCTCCCTAGCTCAGATGATTCTCCCATCGTGGCCTCATGATGCCCGGCTAATTTTTTAAAATTTTTTGTAGAGATGGGGTTTCACCATGTTGCCCAGGCTGGTCAAATGGTGTCCTCATAAAAGAAAATTTGGGCCAAGCATGGTAGTTCACACCTGTAGTCTCAGCTACTTGGGAGGCTGAGGTGGGAGGACCACTTGAGCCTAGGAGTTTGAGATCAGCTTGGGCAACATAGAGAGATGCTGTCTCTACAAAATATTGAAAAAAAATTGCCGGGCATAATCCCGGCATTTTGGGAGGCCGAGGCGGGTAGATCACCTGAGGTTGGGAGTTCGCAACCAGTCTGACCAACATGGAGAAACCCCATCTCTACTAAAAATACAAAATCAGCCGGGCATGGTGGCATATGCCTGTAATCCCAGCTACCCAGGAGGCTGAGGCAGGAGAATCGCTTGAACTCAGGAGGCGGAGGTTGTGGAGCCAAGATCGTGCCATTGCACTCCAGCCTGGGCAACAAGAGCAAAACTCTGTCCCCCCCCCCAAAAAAAAAAAATTAGGCATAATGGCATGTGCCTGTTGTCCCAGTTACTTGGAAGGTTGAGGTGGGAGGATTGCTTGAGCCCAGGTGTTCCAGACCAGCCTGGGCAACATAGTGAGACTCTGTTGCTATAAAAAAAAAAAAATAGCCGTGTTTGGTACTGCACACCTGTAGTCCCAGCTACTTAGGAGGCTGAGGCACGAGGATCGCTGGAGCCTGGGAGGTAGAGGTTGCAGTGAACCATGATCACACCACTGCACTCCAGCCTGGCACAGAGTTAGGCTCTGTCTCAAAAAAAAAAAAAAAAAAAAAAAAAATAAAATAAATAAATAAATAAAGGAAATTTGAACACACAGAGGGACACCAGGGATGCTAGTTCATAAAGACCATGTGAGGACACAGTGAGAAGGTGGCCACCTGTAAGCTATGGACAGGGACCTCAGAAGTCAAACTTGCTGACACCTTGATCTTGGACTCCAGAACTATGAGAAAATGAATTTCTGTGGTTTAAGCCTAGTCTGTGGCATTTTGTTATGGTAGTTCGAGTTAAGGGGACTGTGGGGCCAGTGATAGGGTCTGTGTGGTGAGTTATGGGGTCTGGGAGGAGGGCTAGTGATAGGGGTTTGTGAGGTCAGAGATGGGAGGTCTATATGATGCTGATGGGGGTCTGGAATAAGTGAATGATGGTGGGATCTGTGGGGTCAGTCATAGGGCATCTCTGGGGTTAGTAATTAAGGATCTCTCAGTGTTAAGAGTCAAGATCTTTTATTTCCTGATTTTAAAAATTGTCACCATCATAGACCTCCTGGCTTCTCTTGTATCTGTGTCCTAATGGCTCCCAGCAGTGCCTTCAAACAGCCCCTTTATTCCCCTTCTTGTGCCCACCCATGAGCCTGAGTGTGAAAGATCAATTAACTTTGTCCCTCCAAACTGTGGGAGCAGGACTAGACTCTTCTGGCAGGCGGAGAGCTCCTCCTTGGCCAGTGTTCGAGCCCGGTCCACCACTCCTCAGTTCTTCTTGCTCTTGGCTTTTGTGGCCTTGGCATCCAGCATGCTCTGGGCATGAGTGAGGTGCTTCACAGCATCAAGCACAAGGACTCCAGGCAGCACCAGCCACAGGGCATTCATGAAGACAAAGTAAAACCAGAAGTAGAGAGGGTGGCCCAGCTCCCCGTGCTGGAATCCGTCACGGTGCTCCGTCAGGAAGTAGAGCACATCCCCATAGATCTGGCCTGTGGGCGGCAGGAGGGGAAAGAGAAGCCCCAGTGAGGAAGGTAACAGTTTCCCCAATTCTCTATTCCAAGGCACTTTCCAAGTCATCATTCAAGGTCTCAGAGTTAAGTATTCTGAAATCATAGAGCTGAAAATCCGAGAAATCAGAAAAATGAGATTCCAGACACCAGAGAGCTAAGAATTTCAGAACTCAGGAAAGCTCACACCTTCAGATTTAAGGAAGTTCAAAATCCTCGAATCCAAGACAGCTTAGGATTCTGGGACTAAAGATAACTCCTATCTCTAGAACTAAAGAAAGCTAACAATTTAATAACACAAGATGACTGAGGCTGGGAACAGTGGCACACGCCTGTAATCCCAGTACTTAGGGAGGCCAAGCCAGGAGGATTGCTTGAGCTCAGGAGCTTGAGACCAGCCTGGGCAACATGGCGAAACCCCATCTCTACTAAAAATACAAAAATTAGCCAGGCACGGTGGCACATGCCTGTAGTCCCAGCTACTCAGGAGACTGAGGCAGGAAGATCGCTTGAGCCTGGGAGGTGGAGGTTGCAGTGAGCCCAGATCACACCATAGCACTCTGGCCTGGGTGACAGAGCCAGACCCTATTTTAAAAAAAGATGACTGAATCTTACATGAAGGGATCTCAGAGTCCTGATCCTGGAGGTTCCAGGGGCTTCTTATCACCCTGGGCCACCTCATGTAACCTTTACAAGAGACTCTGTGATGGAGAAGGAGGAGGAGGAAGAAAAATGAACCCTCCCCACCTGAGAGTACAGGCTCAGAGAAGGGCATGGCTGTTCCAGAGCCTCAGGAGGTTTGTCATTCAGTCTGACTCACCCCTGGAAGGGCACCATTGAGATCCCACCCACAGGGATGCACTGGTGTCTGTGGATTCCCATCAACCCCTCTAGTGCCCAGTGCCCTTCTAGTGCCCTCTCCTTACCCACAGAGACCACAAGCTGTAGAACGAAGCGGAGAGGATGCTGGCGGAGAAAGGCGATCACCACCCACAGGCTGAGTGGTCCCCACAAGCAAGCTGTGATGGTTTCCATGCACACTGTGAAGTTGTCACCCCTGCAGGAGAAAGCATGAGGGGACACTGGCATCGGTGTGCTCTTCCTACAGGTTACCCCATTAGGGTAACTTACCACCCCACCAAAACCAATGCCAGTCTCCACTGACAGAGGCAAACACTTACAGGATGTATCGGCTGTCTCCCTTGGCATACTCTTTCCCTGAAGAAAAGAAGAGAGAGATATGAAGAATAAAGGCAGGGAAAGGAACACACATTTGTGACAGCTGGGGGTCCCTGCAAGAAGACAGACTTCATAACCTTCCCATGCGTCTGCTTCCTCATCTGTGAAATGGGGTAACTGTTTGGATTCTAGTGGTTTATTTATCTAAAACAAGGTAATATGTGTAAAGCCTGACACAAAACAGTGTGGCTGTGATTGGTACTCAAGAAATATGTGTGGCATAAAAGGAGGCAAGTGTAGATAATGGAGTGAGTGAAGTAGCCAATGAGAGAGAGAGAATGTAGGTGAACAGAGGAGTGAATAAAAGCATGAGCAGAGAATCAGTAAGAAAAAGACTGCCGGGTGCAATGGCTCACGTCTGTAATCCCAACACTCTGGGAGGCTGAGGTGGAAAGATGGCTTGCATTAAGGAGTTCAAGACCAGTCTGAACAATGTAGTGAGACCCCCATCTCTACAAAACATACAAAAATTAGCTGGACATGGTGGCACGTGCCTACAGTCCCAGGCTGCAGTGGAAGGATGTTTTGAGCCCAGGAGGTTGAGGCTGCAGTGAGCTATGATAGCACCATGGTGCTCAGCCTGGACAACAGAGTGAGACCCTGTCTCAGAAAAAAAAAAAAAAAAAGAAAGAAAAAGACCATCCAATATAAAAATAGGCAGAAGACTTGAATAGGTTCTTCACAAAGAGAATTTCTAAGTGGCCAATAAGTATATGAAAGATGTTCAAACTTCCATCAGTCACTAAGGAAAAGCAAATTAAAACCATAATGAGATAGCACTCACATCTACTGGAATGACTGAAATTTAAGAAACATCTGACCAGCCAGGTGCAGTGGCTCATGCCTGTAATCTTTTTTTTTTTTTTTTTTTTTTGAGATGGAGTCTCACATGTTGCCCAGGCTAGAGTGCAGTGGCGCAATCTCAGCTCACCACAACCTCCACCTCCTGGGTCCAAGCAATTCTCCTGCCTCAGCATCCTGAGTAGCTGGGATTACAGGCACCTGCCACCATGCTGGGCTAATTTTTGGATTTTTAGTGGAGATGGGATTTCACTATGTTGGCCAGGCTGGTCTCAAACTCCTGACTTCAGGCGATCTGCCCGCCTTTGCCTCCCAAAGTGCTGGGATTACAGGCATGAGCCACTGCACCCAGCCTTGTTTATAATGGCAGAAGATTGAGGGAAAATGCCCATCAATACCAGACAAGTCAAGTAACTGTATAATGTCCATGCTTCAAAAGTTCTTTATGAAATCATGAGGAGTGACCTCATTGAAAAAAGCAGCCGGGTGTGGTGGCTCACGCTTGTAATCCTAGCACTTTGGGAGGCTGAGGTGGGCAGATCACTTGATGCCAGGAGTTGGAGAACAGCCTGGGCAACAAAGTGAGACCCTGTCTCTTAAAAAAAAAAGTTGTTAAAAAAAATAACTTGGTGGGGTGGCACATACCTATAATCCCCGCTACTAGGGAGGCTGAGGCAGGAGCATTGCTTGACTGCCCAGGAGTTCAAGGCTGCAGTGAGCTATAATCATGCCACTGCACTCTAGCCTGGGTGACAGAACAAGACCCCGTCTCAAAAAAGAAAATGGCTTCTTTGGTTTTCTTGTAAGGAAAGAAAGAAAAAGAGAAAAGATTAGAAGTATATATAGCACATGGCTGGGCGCAGTGGCTCATGCCTGTAATCCCAACACTTCGGGGGGCCGAGGCGGGCGGATCATGAGGTCAGGACGATGGAGACCACCCTGGCTAATGTGGTGAAACCCCGTCTCTACTAAAAATACAAAAAATTAGCTGGGTATGGTGGTGTGCGCCTGTAGTCCCAGCTACTTGGGAGGCTGAGGCAGGAGAATGGCATGAACCCAGGAGTCAGAGCTTGCAGTGAGCAGAGAGTGCGCCACTGCACTCCAGCCTGGGCGACAGAGCGAGACTCTGTTTCAAAAAAAAAAAAAAGACGTATATATAGCACGTTACCATTTGTGTAAAATGGGGAAAGTGCAAATAATGATAATGATAATAATAGTGAACAGTTACATGGCAACCACTGTTTGCCAAACACTGTTCTAAGTACCTTACATATGGTTGGTTATTACTATTATCCCCCTTTTACAATTGAGCAAATTGAGACTTATGTGTATAAATAAACTGAAAAGAAACATAAACAACTATCAACAGTGCCTAACAGTATTTGGGGACACTTGGTGGATAGAAAGCAGATTTTCACTGCAAATCTCTTTAAATGTTTTTTTGACCCATGTGAATATACATGCAACAAAAAAGTTAAATAATGCTGCGCACAGTGGTGCGCACCTGTCATCCCAGAATTTTGGGAGGCTGAGGTGGAAGGATTGCTTGAGCCCAGGAGTTAAAGAACAGCCTGAGCAACATAACAAGACCCTGTCTCTACAAAAAAGTGAAAATATTAGCCAGGCATAGAGGTGTGCACTTATAGTATAGTCCCAGCTACTGCAGAGGCTGAGGCAAGACAATTGCTTGAGCCCAGGAGTTAGAGGCTGCAGTGAGAAATCATCATGCCACTGCACTCCAGCCTGGGCAACAGAGCAAGACCTTGTCTCAAAAATAAGTTATCTACCAGTTTTGGAGGAGAAGGGCAAAAAAAAAAAAAAAAAAAAAGAAGAATACAAGAATACATAATAATTTTTTATTTTTTTTAAGACGAAGTCTCACTCTGTTGCCCAGGCTGGAGTGCAATGGCATGGTCTTGGCTCACTGCAACCTCTGCCTCCCAGGTTCAAGCAATTCTCCTGATTCAGCCTCCCAAGTAGCTGGGACTACAGGGGTGTGGGACTACAGGCGTGTGCCACCACACCCAGCTAATTTTTGTATTTTTAGTAGAGATGGGGTTCACCATCTTGGCCTGGCTGGTCTTGAACTTCTGACCTCGTGATCTGCCTGCCTCGGCCTCCTAAAGTGCTGGGATTACAGGCGTGAGCCACCGTGCCTGGCTAATTTTTGTATTTTTAATAGAGATGGGGTTTTGCCATGTTGACCAGGCTGGTTTCAAATTCCTGACCTCAAGTGATCTGCCCGCCTCGGCCTCCCAAAGTGCTGGGATTATAAGCGTGAGCCACCGTGCCCAGCCTATAATAAATTGTTTAAAAGGTTAAATAAAAATTTAAAATAAATCAATGGAAGAAGAATAGGTGGATAGGTAAACATGCAAGCCAATCCCTGCCCAGCAAATCCCATCCCACAGCACATGAAAAAACTCAGGACTCACAGAGTTGAGATAAGAAGGCTTGGTCTCCAAGCAGGTCCTCATAGTAGAGAATGAACCAGCCCTCGATCACCAGGTGAATGAACCCACACACTGCAAACCAGCACAGGGACAGTCGCCGCCAAGTCCCCAGTGGGACAACCGCAGCACGACCCGACAACAGCCATGTGGTCACGACTAAGACCCCTGTGACAGAGAAGAGGCCAGCCAGTATATGCCAGGTGGGGCGGTCATTAGGTACAAAGTTGTCCAGTCTTAGGTGTTGAGGCCAGTATGGGTGCAACGGGCCCGCATTGGTAGTCATGTCTTTGTGGGCTGATGGCTGCGTGTGGATAGGCAGGAAGTTGAAGGAAAAAAAAAAAAAAAGGGAACAGAAACACCTGGACAAATAGAAAGCACAGAATGAGATAATAAAATCTAATTCAAATAGTTTACCATCATAAGAAATGTAAATGGACCGAATTTACCAGTTAACAGACAGGACTGTAACACTTCTAATTACATTCCGTTTTGTTTTGTTTTGTTTTGTTTTCAGACGGAGTCTTGCTCTGTCTCCCAGGCTGGAGTGTAGTGGTACAACCTCGGCTCACTGCAACCTCTGCCTCCCGGGTTCAAACGATTCTCCTGCCTCAGCCTCCCGAGTAGCTGGGACTACAGGTGCCTGCCACCACGCCTGGCTAATTTTTTTGTATTTTTAGTGGAGACGGGGTTTCACCGTGTTAGCCAGGATGGTCTCGATCTCTTGATCTCGTGATCCACCCGCCTCGGCCTCCCAAAGTGCTGGGATTACAGGTGTGAGCCACCGCACCCGGCCTACATTTTGTTTTAAGACCATGACTAAAGGCCAGGCACTGTGGCTGGTAATTCCAGTGTTTTGGGAGGCTGATGCAGGAGCAGCACCTGAAGCCAGGAATTCAAGTCCAGCCTGGGCAACTTAGCGTAACTCTTCTCTCTAAAAAAATAAAATCAGTCGGGTGTGGTGACAAACGCCTGTAGTCCCAGCTAGTAGGTAGGCTGAGGCAGGATCGCTTTGAGCCCAGGACTTCAAGGCTGGAGTGAGCAGTGACCACATCACTGCACTCCAGCCTGAGACTCTGCCTCTAAAAAAGAAGGCCCGGCGTGGTGGCTCACGCCTGTAATCACAGCACTTTGGGAGGCCAAGACGAGTGGCTCACTGGAGCTCAGGAGTTCAAGACCAGCCTGGCCAACATGGCGAAACCCCATCACTACTAAAAATGCAAAAATTAGCCGGGTGTGGTGGCGTGTGCCTGTAGTTACAGCTATTCAGGAGGCTGAGGCAGGAGAATCGCTTGAACCCGGGAGGCGGAGGTTGCAGTGAGCCGAGATCAGGCCACTGCACTCCAGCCTGGGCGACAGAGCAAGACTCTGTATCAAAATAAAAAAGAAAAGAAAAAGAACATAACTGAAATATAAGGCCACAGAAAGACTGAAAGCTTGTTCCAGCCCTCTAGGAGCCATATTATGATGTGGTAGAAACAGTCCCGGTCTCAGCCCTCAGGGGTCAAAGTCTGGTGGGAAGCGCATGGGAACAACACCTGATCCCAGCTCTCCCTGGTCAGTCTGGCGAGGGATATACAGGACCAGGCCTGGTGTCTTCATTCAAGGGTCACAAACTGCTCACGACCACCAAACCCAGTCCTGTGCTCCGGAGTCACGGTTTGGTAAGAGACACAGGAACCAGGCGACGTTCCGTTGCACAGGTCAGCGTCTTGCACCGTTCAACAAAAAGCTATTCCCTCCCCCACGTAGTTCTGAAAACTGAGGCTGGGGGACAGAGGAAAGAAAACGAATCAGAGCTACAACCTTCGGTGCCAGCGTTTGGAAAGCCAGAGCCTCCCCGCGAGAGCATGCAACGCCGTCAACCTGCACGGAAGAGACGGATTTGGAAAGGGCGGTGTCTGGCGTGCAGCGCTAGAACTGAACACAAAGCCCACCAATCCGAACCAGAACCCTCCAATCCCGCTGCCCAATGAGAAGGCGGATCTTCTGTCGTCCGGACAACAGTGCGGTAGCTGGGGGTCTAGCTCAGGCGCCAGAGGGCGGTGGTGGGGGGGGAGGGTGGCAAACGGTCTCGCGCTGGCACGCCAAGGGCTGGCCGCGTAGCCGGGGAGAGCTAGGGGAGGGAGCAGGGGGCCGGGTGGAGGGCACTCACCCAGCCGCGCGATGGCAGCGGCCTCCGACACGGGCTCCGGGACCTCTTTAGGCTGGCTCTCGCGCTCTGTCACATCCCCAGTTCGGGCTCATCCCCTCTTGGGTTCTCTTGCCTGACGGAGCGGGCCAATGGTGAAGCGAAGAAGACGGCCCTTGCCGCTCCCAACCAATGGGCACTCTCTGTGTGCCGCTGGCCCCGCCCCCACGCGTGGCGCCATTTTCACCTGAGTCAGGTTTGGGGTGGAGACTGGGGCGGGCCAAGGTTAGTGGGCGTTTTCGATCCGTAGCCACTTTGCATCGAGTCCTGGCTTCAATTTCCTCATTCCCTTATCAGTCGATCAAAACAGGGACTCATTAAGGTGTGTATCCTCTTCTTCCGCTGGTGAAATTAGCGTTGCGTTGCATCCTTTCACCTCCGCCCTTTGCTAAGTAGAGTAACCCTCAGCATGATGCAAAGAAACTGTTACAGGCAGATCACATGCTATACACTGCAAACCCCCCCCTCCCCAGCTCTTCAGTGCTCAGAACTCCTCAGTCCTAATAGCAGCGGTCATTCTCTCTTCTCCCGACCTCAGGTCAGAAGAATGAATCAGAACCCAGGCCTCTCAGTCCTACTGACCAATTGGCATGAAGAGCCTCAATCTCCATGTGCCAGTTCTAAAAAGCCAATCAAACGCCTAACCACTAGTGGGCCCCCAGATGGAGCAATCAATCAGAATCCAGACCCATCCCAGACCTCTCATCCAATTAGAACCCACAACCCTCAGTCCTAAGGACAAATAGGCACCAACCCTTCATCTCTCTTGCTTTCTCTCCTCTGTGTCCCACTCAGAGCAACCAATCAGAATGGGGATCCTTCAGTTTTCCAGCCAATCAGGCCTCCCCCACATCCAACTATGCAATCTGTCCCTGCCCTAATCAAACCAAGGAGGACCAGGATCCTGCCATCTTCAGGCTCTTCATCTAATCAAACAATCATAAACTAACCATGAACCAATCACAGTCTGCTCTCTCTTCATGGTTTCCAGCTTCCAAACCTTTATCCATGCTGTGCCCCCTTCCTCACTCACTCCTATTCGCCTCTGAGCAGTGAAGAAGAAGCCTACTGTATATTTCCTACTTTTATTTGACAATAACAAATTGTATATAAAAAGGAAGAAGGAAGGCGAGGAGGCCCTGGATCTCCCCCTCTCTGTTTCCCCAAGCATCCCCCACCCCTAGGCCCCAACAGGGACCACCCCCTTCCCGCCTTGTGGTGGGGTGGGGATTGACAGGCATGGAAATGGTGTGATTTGTGTGTGTGTGTGTGTGTTGAGGTGTTGGGGGTCAAGGATGGAGGGGGTCAGGGAGTAGAGAGAGGGCCTTCCCTCATCCCCCATCAGTGGCACCCTGAAAGGGGTCTTAAGAGGGTTATGAGGGTCCACAGATGTGCCTCAGCCTATGAGACGGTAGAAGATCCAGCATCCAAAAGTGACCCAGTGACTGGCCCAGCTGAGCTCTGACCACTTGTGGACAGTGTATGCCATGCCATAGCCCTGTGGGAGAGAAAGAGGTGATGGTCCCACTTAACAAGGACAAAGAAGTTCTCAGGAAAACCCATCCTTTGCCCAAGGACATTTCTGTGACTGCTCTAGGTGAGGCCCCACGGAAGGGCCTAGGTACATATGAAAGGTGACCAGATATAGTTTTTGTCTTCTTCTTTAAAAATCATTTTAAAAACAAAGTGATCCCATTCTCTGACCTGTTATCTCCCTAATATATAAAGAGCTCCTAAAAATCAATTTTTTGGAAAGAAAAATTGCCAGAGAAGGTGAAATAATAGGTCATTCCAGTAAAGGAAAAACAAATGGCTCTTAAACATATGAAAAGATGCTCAGCCTCATTCATAATCTTCCTCATTTTATTTAGTTTCTTTTTGAGACAGGGTCTCATTCTGTCACCCAGGCTGGAGTACAATGGCACGATCTCAGCTCACTGCAACCTCTACCTCCCGGGTTGAAGCGATTCTCCTGCCTCAGCCTCCTGAGTAGCTGGGATTACAGATGCTGCACCACCATGCCCAGCTAATTTTTGTACTTTTAGTAGAGATGGGGTTTCACCATGTTGGTCAGGCTGGTCTCGAACTCCTGACCTCAAGTGATCTGCCCGCCTGGGCATCCCAAAGTGCTGGGATTACAGGCATGAGCCACCCTGCCCGGCCATCTTCTTTATTGAAGTGGCAAACATATCCAGGAAGCTTGAGAGGCACTCTGTACTGGTGGGGCAGCAGGCACGTTCAGGCATTGCTGGTGGGAGAGCACAAAAGTACTACTCCATTGAGACTATCAGGAACAGATCCTACAGATCTGTCTGCACCTGTGTGGATCCACGTGGGTACAGAGTTCCTGCTGCAGCATCACTTGCAATAGGAAAGGACTAGAAATCACCTGATGTTCACCAATAAGAGAAACATTAAACTGCGTCACTTCCTCATAGTGCAAAAAATGAATGAGGACACTATATTCTGATGTGGAAGATTTTCAAAAATTGCAGAACAGTATCATTTGTGTGTTATCTTTAGGGTAAAAACTGGCGAGGGGGTAGAATTAAAATATATTTTTATATTTGTTTGATATGTTTAAATTTTGGAAAGGTATTTTAATAAAAGGATAAAAGTGGGCTTGGTGCGGTGGCTCATGCCTGTAATCCCAGCACTTTGGGAGGTCAAGGCGGGTGGATTACCTGAGGTCAGGAGTTTGAGACCAGCCTGGCCAACATGGTGAAACCCCGTCTCACCATGTAACCTGTAAGAGGGTAGCGGGCAGAGGGTGGGAGTAAGTCTTTTCTCTGAATATCTTGAATACTGTTTGGTTTTTGAACCATGTGATAGGCATTCACTATTTAAAAATATTTTAATGAAAACAAAACAAAAACTTTATTTAAAAAGAAGCAAAAAGCCAGGTGTGGTGTCATGCATCTCTAGTCCCAGCTACCTGGGAGGCTGAGATGGGTGGATTGCTCCAGTCTGGGAGTTTGAGGCTGCAGTGAGCTATGATTGTGCCACTGCACTTCAGCCTGGGTGCCTGAGTGACAGAGTGAGACCATGTCTCAAAAAAAAAAAAAAAAAAAAAAAAAGCAAATCCCAGATTTTGCACACTTAACCTGAATTAAAAACTTTTTTAATGTCAAAAAACATGAAGTTTTGTTTTCAACTGAAACCTAACTAAAAGAGAAGCAAAAACCTGGATTCTGCAAAAGCCATATGAATAAATGTTATTTTTAAATCGTTTTTAATTTAAAAAGGAGTAAAATCTGGAATTTGCATACTCAACATGAACAAAAATAGTGCATACATTTTAATGAAAAATTTTTAAAGTGCAGAATCCAGGGTTTGTACACTCAACCTAAGTAACATAAAATATATATTTTTTGGCCGGGCGCGGTGGCTCACGCCTGTAATCCCCACACTTTGGGAGGCTGAGGCGGGCAGATCACCTGAGGCCAGGAGTTCAAGACCAGCCTGGCCAACATGACAAAATCCCGTCTCTATTAAAAGTACAAAAATTAGCCCAGCATGGTGGCATATGCCTGTAATCCCAGCTACTCAGGAGGCTGAGGCAGGAGAATTGCTTGAACCCAGGAGGTGGAGGTTGCAGTGAGCTGAGATCGAACCATTGCACTCCAGCCTGGGCAACAAGAGCAAGACTCCATCTAAAATAATAATAATAATAATATATATATTAATTAAATAAAACAGGGTGCTCATGCCTGTTATCCTAACACTTTGGGAGATTGAGGCAGGGGGATTGCTTGAGCCTACGAGTTCAAGACCAGCCTGGGCAACATAGGGAGACACTGTCTCCACAAAAAAATTTAAAAAACATTAACCAGGCTTAGTGTTATGCACCTGTAGTCCCGGCTACTCAGGAGGTTGAGGCAGAAGGATGGCTTGAGCCCAGGAATGTGAGGCTGCAGTGGGCTGTGATCACGCCACTGCACTTTAGCCTGGTGACAAACCTTGTCTCAAAAAAAAAAAAAAAATTAAATAGGCCGGGCGCGGTGGCTCAAGCCTGTAATCCCAGCACTCTGGGAGGCCGAGGCGGGCGGATCACGAGGTCAGGAGATCGAGACCATCCTGGCTAACACGGTGAAACCCCGTCTCTACTAAAAAATACAAAAAACTGGCCGGGCGAGGTGGTGGGCGCCTGTAGTCCCAGCTACTCAGGAGGCTGAGGCAGGAGAATGGCGTAAACCCGGGAGGCGGAGCTTGCAGTGAGCTGAGATCCGGCCACTGCACTCTAGCCCGGGCGACAGAGCGAGACACCGTCTCAAAAAAAAAAAAAAAAAAAAAAAAAAATTAAATAAGAAGTCTTGCAAATTCTACCTAAACGATAATGAAGTGAAATAATTAACACAAGTAAAACCTGGATTTTCCACTCCATCTCTATAAAATGATTTTTTTTTTTGAGACAGAGTCTCGCTCTGTTGCCCAGGCTGGAGTGCAGTGGCATGGGCTCACTGCAACCTCTGCCTCCTGGGTTCAAGTGATTATCCTGCCTCAGCCTCCCAAGTAGCTGGAATTACAGGCGCACCATCACGCCTGGCTAATTTTTTACATTTTTGGTAGAGACAGGGTTTCAAAGGGTTGGCCAGGCTGATCTTGAACTCCTGACTTCAAGTAATCCGTCTGCCACGGCCTCCCAAAGTGCTGGGATTACAGGCGTGAGCCACCATGCCCAGCCTAAAAGTAATTTTATAAGTAAAATAAATAAACATGTTTTGCATACTTCATCCAAATAAAAGACCTAATAGTGTGACTCAAGCAGAGGGACTATGGGAAAGGACCGAGGAGCACTGGCTGCCCAGGCAAAGCAGCACAGTCTGAGGAGCTCAGGCCTCAGCTTCCCAGCCTTTGTCCTCATGGTTTCCCCCTGCCAGGTAGCGCCACCCTTGGTTAACCACACAGCCCAGGGCCCCACCTCACCTGCTCCTCTGTGGTGTCGTCCACATCGACATCAAACAGGGAGCCCAGGTAGGCCAGGTGGAAGATGGCCAGGGCTCCAAAGAGCAAATTTAAGGCTCGCACCCCCAGGCCCTGTGGGGGACAGATGGATATATTTGGCAACTGGACCTACTCACTGTGTCCCACCTCCTCCTTCGTGGGGGAGCCCAGGGGACACACAGGGCACAATGGGTTCCAGGACTGAGAATGCCCAGGGTACCCCCTGAGATAGGGAAGAGATGGTTCAGGGAGCCTCCTATGGGAGTACAGAGGCATCCAAGGATGAGGGTACTGTTCACAGTGAGGGCATCCTGGGTTGGGAAGCTTCGAGTCTCCAGGCAGAGGAGGAAGAGTGGCAGGGCTTTGAGTCGGGGCTTTATAGTAATGAATGGGAGTCGGGTGGGAGACAAATATGAGGTTGTCTGTACTTCTTATTGCAAACAGAATAAAAACACAAAACCAAACCAAACCAAATCCCCACCATGACCTAGCGGGCCCATGCCTCCCACCCATCTCCCCTCCCCACCCCACCTCTGCTCAGGCCACACTGGCTGCCTTGCTATTTCTCAAAGATTCCAGGCCCTCTCCTACCTCAGGGCCTTTCCACTGGGTGTCCCTCTGCCTGGAACGTTTCCCTCTCTTACCTCCTTCGGTTAAAGGCCTCAAACGTCACCTCACCAGGGAGGCTTCTCTGACCTCCCTATTTCAAATGGAAATCACCCCCATAAAGGAATCACCTTTTCCTTACGCATTTTCTCCTTAGCACTACTTGCAATCTGACACACTATTATTAGACTTTACTGACTCATTTTTTATCTACTGTCTGCCCGGTTAAAATGCTTGTCTCATAGTGCTGGGACTTCGGTCTGTTTCGTTCACCATTGTCTCCAGCACCTAGAGCACCAACA